GCCGTAGCCGTAGCCGAGGTTACCGGACGGGAGCTGATCCTGGTCCGATAGGCAGGGTGGGCAACACTTCACCGTTGTCACGGGCTGCAATATCAGCCTCCTCGTCGTGGAGGAGGCCGACTTCGCTATGACGACCGGATGCTGCCGCTGGCAAACGACGTAGCGGTGCCGCCATTACGTTCTGGGTCGGCGCTGTGATCGATGGGTGCCAGCAGAGGTCCATGCTACCGTGGTGCCGGCCGCACTCCACCAGCGTGCGCTTCATGTCGAGTGTTCGGTTTGCTAGTCGGTCGGCATGGGCGTTAGCCTTCCGGTCGACATGCTGTTGCGTGAACTTGGTCACCGAGCGAAGCGCGTGGCGCACGCGGTTGCGCAGCTGCCGTAGGCGTTGGTTCCTGCACGCGAAAGTACCTCGTACCTGCGACACTACCAGGTGGCTGTCTCCCTCGATCGCCAAGGATGTTGCGCCGTGATGGTAAGCGCTCCGCACGCCGAGCAGCAGTGCCGTGTACTCGGCAGTGTTGTTCGTCTCGCCGCTGCTCGGCATGTAGTGCTAGCACGTCCACACCACCGTCCCGCTAGGGTTGGAGAGCGCGGCACCTGCTCCTCCTGGCCCTGGGTTCCGGCGACACGGTCCGTCGAAGCGCAGTGTCCATGGCTTGGGTGCTGACAGGCCGTCGGCTACGTGCATCACTTGGCGACGGGCCGCAGCCAACTCTTGCTCCACAGCGTGCTGCACGGCCGTCCGCCCACATTCATCCTGTTGCACGTCCTCTTCCACATCACGCTGTGGGCCACGTTGCTGTAGCCGACGAGTCGGCGCTGGTGGAGCCTCTGAAACGGCCTCATGAACCGGACGTGGTCGTCGAGCATGTGGTGGGAATACCGGTGGTGAGGCGGGCAACGACAGCAGCTCCGATCGCGCGGTGACTTGGTCCCCACCGCGTGGCGCCAATGTCCGATGCGGCCTGAACCAGAGGTCTTCGCGCTGCCAGAGCTCCTGCCGAGCCGCCCGTCGTGCCCACAGAGGTGTCCGTAGTTCTGCGCAGGGGCTCCGAGCGTGTGCTGCTGCGTAGATGTCGTGTTGTCCCGCTGTCCTCACTACTGTGCGCGTCTTGGCCGTCCGTCGCGCCCTCCATGGCGGTATCCTGCTCGAGCTCGGCCATCAGCTCGTCTGCAGCTGCCTGCATCAACACGTCAATGTCTTTGTCCGCGTTGTCGAGGCGGCGCCGCTTGCCTGATTCACGCACGAAAAGGGGAGGACGAGTGGCCACCAGCACGGGGGGGGCATGCTGGCGCCTTGCTGGTGTAGCGAAGCGGAATCCGTGAAAATCTTGTGATCGCGGTTCCCGATACCACCCCGGACACCGACTAACGAAGGGGGTCCTCCGATGATCCGTGATCTGGTTGTGTCTTGCTCACCTTGTGTACCCGACGGCGGGCGGGTTGGGCTCTCCTGGGTGACTCGTTCGATGTATAGCCGGAAAGGATAGAACGCAGGGGCTTGAGATAGCGCGGAACTTCTTCGCTTTACCTCGATGCAGGTTGATCTCGGTCGCTGACGGGTCTTCGAGTCGCGATCGAAATGCCTGGTTGTCGATCCAGGTCTTGATGTGGTCCAATTGCGAAGAACTTGCTCCTTCCTTGATAT